CAAACTCATCACGCTTTCGCTTCAATCTCCACATGCCTGGTAGTATGTTAGCATCCTCCGGAGCCTCAATTAATGTACCGACTTCGTGCATTTGTAGAGACATGAACTCGCGGGACATTGCTTCCATCCATGCTTCACGATTTGGACTTTTCATCGCCTGAGTGTAAGATGGTTCATCGTTTTCCATCCCATCATCAGTTGAAACAGTGGTAGATTGATTCAGCTCAGCTACAGTGTGATAACCGATAAAGTCACCTAACCTATCAATTGGCTGGACATTGCGAACAGGACGAGATCGAGTCGGAGCAGTAGGAATGGGTGCTGGATCAATGTGTTTGATACTGTGCCTTGTTTCCCAGATTTCATCCCAAGACTCATCATTGAGCACCGTCAACTCTTCAGTATCGACATTGGACGTTTCAGACAAAGGGAATCGAGATTCATCAAATACCACATCATTAGAAATTACAATTCTTCCAGACTTCGGATCCCAAAGTCGGTAACCATCTGAGTTTTTCTCATATCCAACCATAATCATCTTCATTGAACGAGGTGAAAGTTTGTCGTGATGACCCGGAGGAATACTGTAAGCTAAACAACCTACAGCGCGCAGACGATGATATGGTACCTTTGGGTGCTCAACAGCTAAAGCTTTCTTCTGCCAAGCATACTCAGGACACTCAAACTCAATCGATTTCGAAGGACATAGATTTAGAATATAAGACGTGGCCATCATCACTTCACCCCACAATCTCACAGGCAAGTTTCCATGGATGAGTTGTGTGCGTAGTCGTTCAGAATTTGTGCGATTGAAACGCTCAACAACGGAGTTTTGTTCAGGTGATTCAGGAGGACCCATTTCACGGACAATGCCGTGTTCAGCAAGGTATGTTGAAAATTCATTACTATTAAATTCACCACCACGATCAGATTTAAAAACAGCAATAGGGTATGAACATTGATTTGTGATCATTTTGTGAAAAGTTTTGAAAGCATTGAAAGAGTCAGATTTAGATTTTAAAATCATAGTCCAATTCTTTCGCGTAGCATCATCTATTAGAACCATAGTGTAAAGAAAACCACCAATAGTCGGAGAAGGAAACGGCCCAGCCAAGTCACAATGTACGCGGTAAAGAGGCACGTCAGAGCGTGGTAGGTGGCCAGAATGACTGTGGCGCGTCTGTTTGCCCATGGTGCAGGCTTGACAGTTTGTTGGTGTATTCGGACTAAGTCGAAGGACATCCTCCAAGACATCCTTGGTGCTTCTATGATTTAAATGTCCAAATCGCAAGTGCCAAATGTTAGCATCAGGAGGGAAATCGGACTTTGCTGCAAACGCACGTGGTTCCGAGTGATGATAAAATCTCCAAAAGCCACCAGGAGTGTCGTCCTTGTAAGCGGGTATAATGTGATCACCGTTTGAGAGGTAAAGGTTAAGATCATCAACATTAGTGCCATAGTACGGGTCAACTATTTTGTATCCTGAGGAGTACAGAGACGTTATAGAGATAAGGTTGGCCGGTAGTCCTGGTGAGTATAGCACATCCGGAATTTCAACCACCGTTCGGACACCGTTGTTGTCAATAGCGTTCAATCGTGCGGTTCCCATCTTGGTGGCTACGAGTCTAGATGACTCATCAG